AAGACGGTGGCGACTCTTGCTTACCGCGACATTTCGCGAAACCAACTTTAAAACAGTCAGTTCCAGATCCACCGATCACAGTCATGTATTAAGTCAAAAGTCAAGAATCAGTCATTCTCAATCAAAATCCTAATTTTGACCATTTTGCCATTTTGATGATTTGAACATTTTTCTTGAGGAATTATGATCCAAACTTGATCAATTGATGCATATGACTTCAAAATGTTGATATTGGTCAAAAATATTGAAGTTTGACTGTAAGTTGACCATAATTGACTTTTTACCCAATACAGTTAATTTTTAATTATCTGGTCAATTGATTGAGCAAAATTGTGATTCAAGACTTGAAACTTGACATGAGTATTCTTGGAGGTCTATGATGATCTATGAAAGTAATTTAAGGCATTAGAAGTCCAATTATCCTTATGGAAACCAAAACTCTAATTTGAGGCATCATTGTTTAGGAGATGGTTTGACCTAGTCAACACTTGGAGAAACCTTGAGCATTTGAGATCTTTTAAGAGAAATGCCTTAAAAAAAAGAGAGGGCCAATTTTGGAGTACAACAGGTCAAAATACATAAAATTAATATAACCACACATCATACATGACCGAACAATACAAACATAGGGATAACATACACATTTTTTTGGCACTGATGAGAGGGTAAGGAACCCTCATCATCCTACTACCTAAATCCATCATATAGTAAGCAATCTCCCCTACCTTAATCGATGCTTTACAGATCATGACTTTCCTTCCTTTTCCTTCCCAATGCACTGCTACTCTTTTCTCTCCAGATGCGTTGTTTCATAAAAGTTCTAATTTTTGTTGTACCCTAGCTCTCATGCTCACGTTAACTATTTATAGTCCCAATTCGACTCTTTCACCTCCTACTCACTCACACACCCCTCACTAATATTATTTTTACCGTTAACATAATTTTTCTTAACGGTAATATAACCTTATTATTAAATGAAAATTAGATTTTATTATCACCATTATTATTATTATTATTATTATTATTATTATTATTATTATTATTATTATTATTATTATTATTATTATTATTATTATTATTACTATCACACTTTTCTTAGATAATTATTTAAATTTAAAAATATATCTAAAGTAATTGTCCCACCTAAATTTAATTAAATAATTATTTTAATCAAAATACATTAAAACTCTTAATTATTATTATAAAAATCTTTCACATATTAATAAAAAAATATAATTAATTTTTACTAATATTTTAACTTATTTAATTTTGAATTAAAAATCTAACGCTCTCAAACTCGACTATTTTAGTAATTATTTAATTATCAAAATATTCTTATAATATCTAAAATAATTAAAATATCATAAATCATCAATTTGGACCAAATAATACACAAACCATTCATAATATTTAAATAAAATATTAAAATTAAAGAAACAAAAATAAGGGTGTTATAGAGGCTTCCGTCAATTTCCTACAAATAAAAAGGAGAAGGCGACAATGCGAATACTTAAAAAAGAATAAAATGAGCAACCTCATTAAAAATTCTTGCCTCTCACAAGACACCAAGGGAAATAGTGTGTCGGCAGAAAAACTTCCTTACAAGCGACAAAGATACAATACTCACCCAAATCAAAAACAATAATAATAAAACAAACAAACAATGATGAAAGTGCCTCAGAGTCCCTCCCGTTGAGGCTTAAGTCTCTTATTTTCTCGCTCTTCTGAGTGGGAGCCTCCCTACGTTTAAGAGCTGCTTTTGGTGGCTTAATTCTTGAACCAACCTTCTTGATATTCACGCCTAGGGTTTGACTTCTTTTTAACTTGAGACTTTTCATGTAACATTTCCTGGCGGATTCTTGATCTCCTTGGATGACTCTAATCCGCCCATTAGAGAATGAATATTTCATACACAAATATAAGATAGACAAGGCGGCGTCCAACTGCTTAAAAATTGGTCGTCATATAATCATATTATAAGAAGATGAGGCATCTATGACCAAATACCTAACTCTAATCTGCTTGACTTGTTCCCCCACTCTAAAGGCGGTCTTCAACATTGTGTAGCATTTCAATTGTACATGCTCGCCAAAGACCCCAACAAGTGACCCCATGAAGGCTTTTAGGCAATCTGCATCAAGGAGGAGCCTCTCAAATGCATCTCAATAGAGGATATATGTAGAATTCCCATAATCTAGGGAAGTTGTTGACTACATACTTCTTAGGGAATTGTGACAAGGACTTCTTGCACATGCGTTTATAGATTATGTACACATCATCGTCTATATTTTTCCTCAGGCGCGAGTCACCTATTGCATGGGGGTTATGCTTAGACGACATATTCTAGGACGATCACAGGATGAAAACAAGTATTGTGATGCCCCATTTGTGGGCCTTTAAAATATATCACTACATGTATCAATTACATAAAAATAATAATCTAATTTTAGTCTTATAACATAACGGACACTATTAAATTATATTATCTTTTTTTCCTAAACTAAAAAATAAATAAAATTTATTCATAAATCTAAATATTTATAATTAATTTTTAAGAGACATATATTATTTTCGTATTAGGATTCATGTTATTTTTAATTTTTGAAAAAAAACTTATAGAAATGTGGTTGAATCATCGTTGTTTTAACTTTTTTTTTCATCTTTTTTATTTTTAGTTGTTAGAAACTATTTTGTTTACTTTTAGAAAAACTTTTATTTTATTTTCTATCTATAAATAAATTGTACTATGACTATGGCCGAACTAATTTAATGGTTTTATTTCTTATCCATTTTTATAATATTGATTCAAATATTAATATTAATTATAATTAAAATATATTATATCTTTTCAAACGAAGAGTGGTGTTTTTCATTCCATATTTATTTTGTTAATAATATATTTAATTTTATAAATGTTAATTTTTAATATTGAAATAAAATAAAAGTATAATTATAGGAATTTCCATTATCCATTTTAATTTTTACATTATGTGGCTTTAATAAGATAATTCAAATCAATTTTATTTTCATGGCTTGGTAGTGTGTATATTTTATGTGTAATTTTGGATTTGAATTTATATCCACATATTTTTCTTTCCATATAAATATTTAGATAAGTATGTATTGTCCAATAAACCAATTAAAGAAATATTATTTTATATTTTATTAATTTATTAAATTATCAAATTCATTGCAACTAACTCGAAATCAAATAAATAAAAGAAAAAAATTAGTAGTTTTGTGTATCAATATTTTATATTGATATTTATGATATTCCTATTTTAAAAATATATATTTATATAAAAAAATTATACATTTATATTTAAGTTGACCGGAGAAAATAAAACAATATGAATTAAACTTGAAAGGTATATTTTTTAAGGAAAATAAGTCACCCAATATTTTTATCTATTTCATTTTTTAATTATTTGTTCATGTATTTTTTAAAGAGATTGTTCATGCATTCAAACAACTATAAAAGTCCTATTTTTAATTATTTTATTTTTAAAATTTTTTAAATATTAAATTTAATATTTTTTTTGTCATATATGTTAAATTTGAGGTATATTTTGATTTTTAAATTAAAAAAAGGTGTATATTAGTCTTTTAACTCTTCAAAATATATAGTGTTACTCTTTTATGTGTAACATGCGACGAACTTAGTGATCATTTTTTGAGTTTTTCCGTCGTTAATTATATGAAAAGAATTAATATAGAATATTTTGAAGAGTCAAATACCAATATTATAGATATTTGTGATTAAATTTGTATCGGTTTTGAAGTAAAAATACATCCGATCTAAAGATAAATATATTTATGATTCGATATTAAATTATAAATTAAAAAAATATAATTTGATCCGATTCAATTTCATGCACTTAATTTAGATAGATTTATATATTTCCAAATTAAAAATTATATTTTTATTAAGATCATAAAAATAAAATAAAAAAATTGATATATTAGAGATTAATATTACCAAACAAATAATATATTTGATATAATTTATAACATATAATATATTAAAAATTAATATTATTAAATAAAAATGATCAATTATAGTTGAAATAATAAAATTAAATATATTAAACTAACTAATAAATAGTATTGAAAAATAAATATCAATGAATAAGAAATTAGCATATTATATTATATTAATAATAAATAAATAAGAATAAAAATATATAAATACAGTTCGGTTTAGTTTAAATAAATTTTAAAAAATTATTCTGAAATCTAACCTGAATCGAATAGTTTTTACAAAATGAGATTCAAACACATTAAATAATATTCCGTTTTTTGCAGTTTTTATTTATTTTGGACCAATTTTCAATTTTTATTATGATCAGTTTGAATTTGAACATCTCTAATCAATTTAATTTTTTTAAAGTTAATAAGAGACTAAAATAAACAATGAGATTAACATTATTAATAAAAAGAAAAAATAAATAAATCAAGGAAAAATTACTAGAAACCACCTATAAAATATTAAATATTAATGACTATTTATTATTTATTTTGACCAAAATTACTATTTACATGACTGAAACTGATGATTTATTCAATTAAAAAATAAATAATATATTTAATTATTAAGTGTATATAAATAAAAACTTTAAAATAAATATATAAAATATAAATGTTCAAACCTCAAATAAATATTTTGAAAAACAATTTGCGGTACGAGTAGGGAAAACAAATTCTCAAAAAGCAAAAACCCAAAATCAAGAAAAAGCATAATTTTTGTTTTATAAAATAATAAAAGGGAAATAGTAAAAGAAATTCGTGAAAAGAAAAAATTAGCCAAAAGAATCCAAAAATAATTAAAATAAAATGATGCTTTTTTTATAAATATATAACTGAATTCATGATAGACGCACTATTTCACTTTTTATTTATGACTCGGTTCGGAATAGACATGTCATTTTATTTTTCATTTTAACATTATCTTTACATATTTAAAAACGTTATGCACCGCTTTTAACATTAGTGAAAGCAAAATGAATGAAGATAACCACAAAAACGATTCTCTTGTCGAAGAATTTACACATTCTAAGAGGTTCACGCAGGTAAAATTTCTTATTAGTAGGATCTTGTACAAAATTTCACAAACATTAGATAAATATAGAAAAAAGAAGTATGGAATTTTGTCACATATCATATAATAAATAGGTAGACTATGTGGCTTATTGCATCTCTCTCTCTAATATAATATTTCTTTTTGTTTATTTTGGCACTATAATGAAGGGTGGGGGACATAAGAGGACAAATTTAGATGCATTGCTTGATGCTATAGACGAAAGTGAAGGGCATCTAAATGGTGTTGATGATGGTATGGACCAAAGTGGAGGGCAAGAAGGTGGTGTTGGTGATGTTATAGACCAAAGTGGAGGACATGTAGATGGTGTTGATGATGCTATGGATCAAATTGAAGGGCAGAAAGATGGTGTTGTTGGCGATGCTATCGACCAAAGTGAAAGGCAAATGAATGATGTTGATGATGCTATGGAACAAAGTGGAGGACATTCATATGGTGTTGATGATGCTATGGACCAAAATGGAGGGCATGAAGAAAGTGTTGGTGATGTTGTAGACCAAAGTGAAGGGCGCATGGATGGTATTGATGGTGCTATAGACCAAAATGAAGGGCAAGTGCATGGTGTTGGCCTAAATGAACTCCAAGCTAAAGTTCACAAGGTAAAGTTTATATTTTTCTTATTATTCTTTTGCGTCTTGTTATTTTTTATTGTTTTTTTTATTATATTTTATTCAATTTAAAATGTAAAAAATTATTATTCAAGTAATTTTATTCATAGTGATGAAAATTACACATTTAAAAAAATATGATTAAACATTTAAGATTTATTTCTCAGATAATAACTGCATGTTTGAAGATACAATTTTTCATTTTTTTTTTTTAATGTTTGTGTGAGATTCTCACATAAATTCCTATTTGTTTAAGTAATATGGAGTTTATTTTTCTAAGTAAGATTAATTTTTATGATTTTAGAATTTATAAAGTATAGATGAACCAAGTACAGTGTACTTATTTGTTCACAACTATTCTAATTATCTTATTTTTATAAATTTTAAATGAGATAAATCACTATAGGATATGTTTGAATTGAATTAATTTAATAAACTAAATTTTTAATATTTATTTAATCATTCAGTCAACAATTATTTTGAAAATTTAATGTTATACTTAACAATTAAGTTTTTATAAATATATTATATTTATAGAATAATAATAATACAAATATTTATTCTAACATATAAAAGTGACAAAAATATAAATTAAAAAATATAATGATTTAAACCTATTTAATTTTATTATCGAATAAAAATATTGTTTGATTAACAAATGAAAGTTTATTTTGACATACATTGTTTTATTTAAGACTAGATAACTATTACTAGTTTTTAATAAAAGTTAGAAAATACTTTTAAAACACCATAAATTATTAACTTTTAATTTTAGAGTTCATTTAATATTTCTTCTATTCCAACTTATAAAACGATGTGATAATATTTAAAATTATTTACTTTAAATATTTGTTCTTATCTTGATGGATTTTTTAATTCTTATTTCTTAAAAATAAGAATTCAATATATTAGTTTACTATGGGCCAAAGTAATGGTTTAACAAATATATTTAAGAATTGTATTTTTTTTTTCACTTGAAAAAAACCAATTGTTTTTCCTTTAATTTCTTTTTAAATGTTCAAATAATTTTTCAAATAATAAAATTGAAGGTACATCAAATATTGTAAATAAAAAGTGATATATGTATTTAACTCTTAGATGGATGAAAAGTGATAAAATTGTTTTTTTTTTCTTAATATTTTATATATTTGAATATATGATAAAATAATTATATTTAAATATCATAGGTAAAAGACAAGAGTTTAAACTCGTGACCTCTGACCTCTGTTTTATATAGTTAGATGTTGTAGATTTGAATTCACAATTTAATTTAATTAATCAAATATTTGTATATTATTATTATTATTATTATTATTATTATTATTTTATTATATAGAAAATATGAGAAAAACACAACTAAATCCAGACACAAACATTCTGGAAAACAAAATCCTTTAAAACCGAAAAAAGTTTGTATACAAAATAATAAAAGTTGAGAAAAGGACAGTGAAAGAAGAAAAAACAGGCCAAAGAGGAAAGAGCGTTAAACTAAACACAACAATGGATTTCACATAGGTTCATTCATTTACAACTCAGTTTCACATTCTCACTCCACACACACTTTTTTTCCTGCTTCTGTTTCTCTCTCATAGAACATGATAATGATTCATGATGATCATGTTCTGAAGTTGTTACTCTATTTTTTGGTATAATCTTAATCGTTGTCTTTTTTATACATGTAATGAAGGGTGAAGAAGGGGTGAAGACCACAACAACAACAACCTTGGAAGCTCCGAATGATGTTCCAGCTGCTGATGATACTGATGAAGAAATTGAAGAGCGTGGAAATGATTCTTTTGCTGAAAAGGAACATTCCCAGGAGGAAAAAGAGGTATCAGATTATGAAGATGAAAAAGAAGAAGATGATGAAGATGAATCAGATGAAGAAAATGGAGTTGCTGATCTTGAAGGTCTATCTCTTGATGATGGCTTCTTTGAAGTTGAAGCTATTCGTCGCAAGAGATACCGCAAGGTCAATTATTGTTTTATCATTTGGTTTCTGTTGTGTGTTTTAGAATATGATGATGTTTTTTTTTTGTCTGATTATGTGTTTTTTTTTTTGCGGAGGTTTTACAGGGGAAGTTGGAGTACTTTGTGAAATGGTGAGTGTTTCCTTTTTTGCTTTTTTGGTGGCAATTTTTGAGGAACAAATGTGATTTATTTAATGTTTTTTTTGTTTTGTTTTGTATGTCATTGAAGGTCGGGATGGGAGGAGTCAGCAAATACTTGGGAGCCTCGAGATAATTTGGTTGCTCTTCCTGATATTGTTCGAGCTTTTGAGGAAGGGTATTCCCATGTTCTTCTTCTCTACAATGTTTATATTTTGTCTTAAATTATGAATAAGGATGAAAGAGATTGGTATGTTTGGATAAATGACTTAATGCTTTAAGCTATTTGCCTATTTCTATAATCAAAGATAAAATGAAGTCCAATTATTTCAGATAAGCTATTAGATGTTTACATCAGATATCATTGAGAGAATCTCTAGGAACTGGTCTGTAGGTGAAAGCTTATGCTTAAGACCTTCTTGTTTGATCCTACCGATCCTACATGTGCCAACAATTCATGTGTTTTTGTTAGTCTATAGAGTTCTTTTCCTTGCTTTAATTGGGTCCCTGCTAGTGAAAGGTGAGATTGGTCCCCTAAATTAGTCGGTCCCAGGATCAGATATCTTAGAGACATGTCATAGGTTGTTCTTATAAGCTTTTCCAAACAATGTCATAGGTGTTTATGCTACTAGATAAACTCACATTAACTAATCCATATTTCAATATATGCTTTATATTTGTGTTGTGTTTCCTATGATTATGAATGAACTGTGTATAAGCATAGGCCAAAGACTTTGAATGTGATTTGTTTTCATAAGTTCTTCCAAACAGTCTCACAAGTGCTTATGCTAATAGATAAACTCAGATAAACCAATCCAAACCGAGTGATTTTTCTGTAATTTGTTTGATTGCGAATGTTTGTTTCTTTGTTGTTTTGAATCAGCTTGACATCGACACCGCATCAGAAGCGCAAGCGCAAACAATCTAGTAATAGCGCTCCAGTCAAGAAAAGGGTGGAGCGTTCTGCCACTCCTTACAGCCTTAGAAGCATAAAAACTGGTTCAACTAGCACCAACGATTCAAAGGCGGCTAACAGTAATTCACAGCCCGCCGCCTCTCTCAACGAACAACACAGTATTCCCGACATTCCTGCATTTCCTCAGACCGTGCTGTTTGCTGACAGAGTAGAAAATTACGGAGATGGAAGCAGTCTTGAAAAAGTCAATCATGCTAATGATGATATGTCTGTGGATCCTCCACAAGATGTTCCTCAAAATAATGAGGAAAACGAGTCTGATCCTAAGCTTACTCCAAACATTGAAGAAAACGAGTCTGATCCTAAGCTTACTCCAAACATAGAAGAAAACAAGTCAGATTCTAAGCTTACTCCAAACATCGAAGAAAACAAGTCGGATCCTAAGCTTACTCCAAACATTGAAGAAAACAAGTCTGATCCAGAGCTTACTCGAAGCATTGAAGAAAACAAGTCTGGTCCTAAGCTTACTCGAAAAAATAAGGCAAACAAATCTGATCCTAAGCTTACTCCAAACATTGAAGAAAACAAGCCGGGTCCTAGGCTTACTCGAAAAAATAAGGCAAGTAAGTCTGATCCTAAGCCTACTCCAAACATTGAAGAAAACAAGTCGGGTCCTAGGCTTACTCGAAAAAATAAGGCAAATAAATCTGATCCTAAGCCTACTCCTAACATTGAAGAAAACAAGTCAGGTCCTAGGCTTACTCGGAAAAATAAGGCAAACAAGTCGGATCCTAAGCTTACTCCAAACATTGAAGAAAAAGAGTCTGATCCTAAGCTTACTCCAACAAATATTGAAGAAAAAGAGTCTGATCCTAAGCTTACTCCAAACATCGAAGAAGACAAGTCGGGTCCTAAGCTTACTCCAAACATTGAAGAAAAACAGTCTGATCCTAAGCTTACTCCAAATATTGAAGAAAAAGAGTCTGATCCTAAGCTTACTCCAAACATCGAAGAAAACAAGTCGGGTCCTAAGCTTACTCCAAACATTGAAGAAAAACAGTCTGATCCTAAGCTTACTCCAAACATTGAAGAAAAAGAGTCTGATTCTAAGCTTACTCTAAATATAGAAGAAAACAGGTCCAATCCTAAGCTTACTCCAAACATTGAAGAAAACGACTCTGATCCTAAGCTTATTCCAAACAAGGAGGAAAACAAGGTTGATCCTAAGCTTACTCCAAATATTGAAGAAAACGAGTATGATCCTAAGCTAACTCCAAACAAGGAAGAAAGCAAGTCTGATCCTAAGCTTAGCAATATACAGTTTGAAGAAGCCGTGACTCCTCCAGTAAAAACTCACATGATTGAACAACCAACTGCGGTTTCCACAGAAGGGATTACTTCAAAAAATTCAGGTAGCGCAGAACCGGTTCAAACTGGCTCCGGACGGTTAGGAACCAGACGGAGAAAAACTACTGCTGTGAAGAGGTTCACCAGAACTTCAATTGCTCGAAAGGTACCCGAGGGTACAGCTGAACCAGCACAAACAGGAGCTACTGATATTGCGGCTCCTAGTAGTCACACAGCGGCAGAACCTGTGAGACCGGGGTCTGATATTGTTGAGATTGAGAAGCCGGTAGGCTATTCAGCTGCAGAAGCCAGCACCAAGCAGGAAGCTTCGGTGACCTTCAAGGTTAAAAGGTCAGTTACTCGACTTTAACTGTAAATTTAGTCGTTACACTTTTGACCAAATTTTTTACAGCTTCATTTGTTTTCATAAAATGTTTGCAGAGAAAAATAGCGTTTTACACATCTCTAAAGGTAATATTTTCTCTTTGATTTGGTTTTTTGTATAGTTCTGGATGCATATTTTTTATCATCAACAATGCGAACATTTGGTTCCTAAAATCAATTTGAAAATGCTATTTCTGATAGTATATGAAACCAATTATGAAAGTTTGCAACATTATTTACTTGTAATACAAGTAATATCCTTGAATCGGTCGCACCTCTTTCACGAAATAAGCTGTATTATTTGATCATCTAACAAGATGCTTCTTGACACAAAGCTTATCTAGTTTAACTTGATAGGTCGGATGGATCAGAAGTTATGGTCGATAATAACTATCTAAAAACAAACAATCCGATTCTTGTAATCCCGCATCTCAAACTTTGCATGGCTTCATAGGCTCACTATTATCATCATCATCAAAACAAAATGTTTCTATGCGATATTTTATTTCTTTTACACGAAGCTCATGTTTTGTTTTTTGTTTCAGCTGATTGATTACTATGAGCAGCATATGCAGTACAGTCTGAAACCGTCGTGATCGAAGAGATTATAGAAGGAAGTTTTGATGTGTAGGGAATTATGTTGTAGATGCTGGACACAGTAAGGGGAAGAAAAGCTTTGTTTGTTAGTGGTATATTTAGATTTGATGACCATTGATGACTATTTAAACTATGGAATAGTTTTGAGGATTCTGTGTTTGCTTACCATAAATTTTTACTATGCTATTTGGTATTTTGGGATGGAGAATGTATTTTAATTCATTTATATATCTAAGTTCAATGGTTGATTGGAATTATTCACTCTTATTAGTTGACTAGTTCATCTAACTCATTTTCTCACCTACCTTCCACAATTTTTCAGGTGATGTTCTTAAGTTAGTTAGCACTTTTCAACAAGTGAAATTCTAGTTATTAATTACTAGACAAACAAATAAAGTTACAGTAATACAATATTTTTAGTGTGTCCCAATTTTTTATTTAAGAAGAAGGACATTAATTGAAGTTGGGATAGCTCAACCAAATTAGATATGTGACCAAATAAATAGTTTAATATAAACCATTCTAGTATTTCCACAACAATCAAACACACCATAATACAAGTCTCTTATAAATTCCATTTCATTTTTCAACATCATATTCATATTCATAGTAACATGGAAGGGCCATCACCATTGTTGCCATCTCTATTCTTGTTAGTGTTGGGAGTCATAATCTATGGATCTAGTTTACTATCACTTTTTGACATGTCAATATCTTTCTATCAAATGGCTTCTGAAGCTGAAGAGAAAAGTTTCACAACTTTAATACTTGTGGTTCTTGTTCTTTTAGTATTTGTGTTTCTTTACTTCCCTTATTCATTTCCTTTCTTTAGTAACTCATCTTATGGTACAAAACGTTATGTCAATAACTCTAGTCATGGTTATGATGAATCTGGATTTGGCTTGGGAACATTGCTCTTAGTTTTGCTCTTCATTCTTTTGTATTATTTGTTGTAAATCGAGAGACCATACTTAAGTTTCGAACATTAAACCTCTTTTTTTTTTTTAAATAGATGAAGTGGTCATAATTATTAAATATTTATATATATACTATTGTGAGAAGTTTGAATTTTGGTGTTAATGTACAATTTAACAATATCAATTTTTTAGTTGAGGTAAAATTAGCGGACTTAGACCTTTCATTTATATTGTATATAAAATGAACAAAATTTAGTGTGCAAATATGAGTTTAGATAGTGTATTAAAGTGGTATTTATTTCGAGATAAAGAAAGTAATTCGGTTACTTTAATTAAGTAAATGTTTAATTAATACAAATATGTGTATGAAATACAGTACTATTAAGAGATTTCAGTTTCAATGGTTATCTTAATTCTGAAGCACCTAAGAAACTGGAGTTAAATCTCTTAACTTAATGTTAACTATTTAATATTAATTTGAGTAAAACGGTTTAATATTAACTTAATTAATGACTATTCACAAAAGCATATTGTGTTTATTAATAGGAACTTGTTAGTGATTAATTGCTTTATCATGGATTTCCGTTTTCTTTTAACTCTTAACTCAGTTGTTTCAAATCGGTTTAGCTATCCTTTTTTTTTTCCTTTATGTATTTCTCTTCATTAGATTACCGTCTAAGTCTTTAAAATCTTTTGTAAATTTGAAACTATTCTTTTGGACCGTTTAGAGATTGAAATTCAAGTACACAAAAATTCAACAATTTAAACTTATATTGAATGTGTATTATGTATTGTTCTTGTTAAAAATACTAAAACGAGTAACTTCCTTATAAGTATAGGGAGAGCCGTAAGGGATAGATTTTTGTAGAGTATTTGGAGATTTGTGGGCTACTATAACAGTATCTATTGTCCCAAGAATGAATGTTTTGCTTATCCCTCTTGCGGGAGTCCCTTATATAGTTCTCTTATGGTACCATTTAAGAGCCTCAATCAAGGTGTGACCCTTGGACTTCGTATCTGTGTAACAGCCGCTGTCACCATGAATGAAGGTGTTCAAAGTCATGTAACGTTGGGTTTAATGCACCGACGACCGTTACAGCCATTAAAGAGTCGGATTGATGACCGACTACAGGTAGGTGAATTCCAGTCACGAATGTGGTCCGGATTGATGGCGCACATGGGTTGTTACCCGGAGAAAATGATGGTCGTTCATCATCTTTATCCGAGTTGCACATCCTTCCGGGTATTACTCACTATTAAGGACCGATCACTAGTTTTGTTATTCTTTCAGCCGGCTTCATGACCCGGTCGAGATTAATATTTTTGGGATGTACATGTATATATGTATAGGGTAAATCGGGATTCCAATTTTCTGATAGACTCTTGGGACACTATTGTTCGCATATTTCCTATTCATATGTCATAACAAATGGGTGAATCTAGATTCCAATTTTCGGATACACCTCTGAGACAACATATTTTACACATTTCCTCGTATATTTGATAACAAATAGGTGAATCTGCATTTCAATCCTCAGATGCACCTATGGGACACTATCTTTGGCACACTTCCGAGTACATTTGGTAACCAATGGGGTGAATATGAATTTCAATATCCGATACACCTCTGGGACACTATCTTTGACCTATTTCCTAGTACATTTGATGACAAAGGGGTGAATTAAGATTTCAATATTTGAATGCACCTATGGGACAATATTGTTAATATAAGAAACTGTAGCAACTTTGGATAACATAAATCTTAAGATTCATAAATCCAAAAGTCATTTCTAATAAAGTGAATTTTCATAAGTACACATCACTCATTTGCATAAGGTATTCACACATTAGTCATTTGCATAAATCTTACACAAATTAATTATAATATAGTCATTTAAAATGTTTACATTAAAATTCAAATTTAAATAAAATTATTGGATATATCTAATGCCCATGTTCCTCCTCTACCTCCTATATTGTAGTGCAAATCGTGTCTATGATGATATCACATCAAATGTGAACTTCTCGGGGTACCTTTCTGAAGCTCTCATCTAGATATACCATCTCTTTTAAGTGCAACAATACAGTAACATATAGGCAATACATATGCGATATGGTCCTCCCTTGCATGCTCCTCTTATATTATCTTCTGATGAGTTAGCCAAGGGGGGACTTCTTCTGACACTAATGTTATATAAGGAAGAGACACTCTATAAAACCATTTGATGTATCTGTATACCGAACTCCATGCATGAGAAGTTGACACACTACTTGCATCCTATGACATCAGATGCTCATGGTACTCGACAATTATCCCATCCATATATTTGCTGAGGACAATCTCAGAAGAATCAAATGTGGGGTCCCTAGGAATAATCTCTAGATACCTAAAATGCCGCAATACTTTTTTAGATAGATAAGGTTACATATATTGAGACTCGCAACCCACCTATCAAAAGTACCAAAATATCACCTCCATAGGTCGTGTCTGACGATGCTCTCTGTATGGGAGAAACAAAAATCATTTGCCATAATGCGATCAAGAACAAGCCTATACGACTCAGTCGGCGAATTCCTCGTGAGTGGGTTAATCAAGCACACACGTGGCAACTTTCAGTGTTGTCAAAAACATATTCCCTACTTGTAACACCTAGGAAATGTTGGAGGATCCATGCTTGAAAATGGTCAAGATGAAATATCAGTAAGGATGTAGAACAAGTAATGTGAAATTAATAAATGACATGTAAATTAATGACCTAAAATAAACAATTTCATCTAGTCATATGTTTCGTCTTACATTTACCACCTTCAACTAACTTGGAGTACATGTAAACCAAACAAGATGACTTCCCCCAATTGTACTTGTGAATTCGCTCGAAGTCCATGAAGTACTTAAGGTAGACAACATCAACATAGGTCTCACTTTTGTCCATAAAATGTCGTTGCCAACCAAAACTGAAAATTATGTCTTCCATGCACATTATCTATGGTAGGCAACTTGTGCTTCATCGCACAGAACACTTACAACTGCATTCAATTTGTCAATGTATTTTTCTGTTAGGACTACAAATCTAGCATGGTACTCCCTCAGGTATCTTCTATCTCCTTTTGAGAGTCACTCATATCAACTTCTAATTATGTCACCATTAGGCCGAGTGCATCGAATTTATGAATGGTAGAATGATCCAACAATCTTCTTGTGATCGAAAGATGGAGGAGACACAATACATCATCAAGGGTGATGCTCATCTCACCAATGGAGATATAAAATAAAGATGTCTCTGTGTCTCATCTCTCAATAAATATGGACAAAAGACCATGGTCAATATAACCATATCTTGTCCTACATAAGTCACTCATATCTGATAGCTTTAATACATCCTGAAACCAAGATTCATTTGGCTGGGAAATGTTTTCCTATCTTCCTATCATGATTTATACACTTTAGTGTGTCATAGTACTACAAAAAAACATTGATGTCATATAATACAATTTGTATAAAAATAAATTTTTAAAAGAATAATTAAACATTTATGTTACCTCTCCATCCCACAAATGCCTATAAATATGGTGTGCATAAAGTGGATGTAATGACATGTCACCTATACCTATAGGTAAACCTCCAGGTGCGACAGCAGTAGGTCCGACTATAAGATGTGGGTCATGAACATGTATAATAGTATAAGAACATGAAAGGGAGAAATTGGCGATTCTTCATGAGTCGAAGATATATGACCACAAGAAGATGATACCTCGACATCCTGATATGATTCTCCAACAATTCACAATGATTTAGCGCCCTCCCTATGTATTGAAGCATGTTAATTTTATCGACCATGTTTGTACCTTGGTTGTTCCTCATTCTTTTTTCTATAATCATAGAAGACAAGACATAGAAAACACAAACAAAATGACAAAAATAAAAACAAACATACAAATTTGGATTTTGTTATCAGTGTTAGGGTTCGGATTTTGAAATCTGGATTTTCATAGGGGTGAAAATGGATTTAGAAACCTAGATTTTCTCGTATCAGTAAGCAACCCCAATTGTCACGCTACAACTCTAATATAGAATGATTCAAATGAAAGATGTGACATAATGTCTCTTAAATAGTTTCTATTTGATGTAACCTAATGGATTTTAACTAGAATCATTTAAGGGATTGCAACATTATATGAATCAAAACCACAAAAAACAATAATGAATGAGAAACATACCAAATGTGAGAAATCATGTTGCTTGTCTTGAATGCAGAGGAGTATAAGTTGATGAAGTTTCTTGGTTTGAAGGAACAAGAGTAGATACCGAGAGAAAAGAATGAAAATATGTTGAACTAAATTTTTGAGAGCTTTGGTGTTTTTGAGAGAAATTGTTTTCTTTATTTGAAATGCAAACGACATGATATAGAAAGACTATACGCACCACTTAAATGGAAACGTTCAGATTTCAATGTCTGTAAAGTGCATGTGAATTTTGTAATTTGGAAATTATCTTTACTTGCCTTTGATGTGGTTTTGATATTGGGTTTGTAGTGTTGCGGTGCATCCGAATTTCAAAATCCGGATGGTGCGAAAGGGGTGTTTTTGAATTTTCACTAGAATGAGTGAATAATGGTATGAGGTGTAATGAATAAGTTCATTAATTAAAAATATTAAAATGGGAGAGACAAGCCCACATTTCATATTTCTTCATGAATTTGGATCAAAATAACAAGTCTTAGCCTATTTCATCTTAATTAATCCCCTGCTCTCATTGGTTTTTTCATGAATTGTAGTAGAGCACAATTGACTCTCCTAGCATGTGCCTATGTCATTGGACTCCCCAGACTTTAGATGATTTAATTTGAGTATTTTTACTCCATGTTCTCATCAGAAGGCTAGTAGCTAAAGGATACACTTAGCTAAAAAGTGTAAACTAGTTTAACACTTTTCCCCAGTAGCCAAGATAACCACCATGATAACTCTCCTAGCCCTAGCTTCCATTAAAAATTGAAATTTAGAGCAATTATACATCATTAATGCATTTTTACATGGTAGTT